AAAATCCGTACAGCTGGTACCATTCATTTATTCAATTTCAAAAATCCTACAATTCGTAAAAAAAAATAATATTAGAATAAAACTATACCTGACACTGAAGAAAGCAGTTCTCTTCTATTTTATCTGAAAAACAAACAAAAATTAATCAAAATTCACAACATTAAACATTTATGAATTCAACAGAATTTTGGGTAAAAATTCAGAAGTACACCACCGACAATTTTTTAAGTTCTTTCTTTACCTCTTGTACCACGCTGCCTATTCTTTACTTTCTCCCTCCCCCAACTTCCCCAGAAAAGAAACACCGCCGTTTACTAAAAGAAAAAACCCTAAGGATAAAATTAGCTTACCTTTATCACCGTCTTTTAAAATGCCATATCCCTTTCCAATATTTTCGACTTCCTTTTTCCTTAATCCATCCTGACACTTCTTCAAATTCTCCTGCAAATTTGCTCACATCATCAGCATTTAATTTCAAAAAATCATAAATATGAAGAACTGAAAATGGTGATAAAAATGTAGTACAGTTTGAGATCTCAATAAACACACATACACACACAATACACATACATACACATACACGCGCACATTTATATATACGGGTACAAATACGTATATAAATGGGGACGCACGCACACCTATACATAGATACAAACACGCATACACACATACATACAAAGACAAAAATACATACGGACGCAAACATCACACACACACATACGCATACGCCCACATACACAACACACACACACGTACACCCACACACACGGACACACAAACACACACATATATACATAATTAAATATACAAACAATATCAAAATGTTAAAGTACACTAAAGATACTGCACCCTACACTAATATTACCATCTATTTCTAAAATCTGCTATTATTCAGACACACAAATAAACACCGCTGCAAGATGTCGTTTGAGTTTGAAAGAGAAACTGATGCGGTAAATCTAACCGCAAAAAAGGCTTACCTTGCAAGTTAGTTTTTCAAATTCGGCATTTTCTCGTTTTTCAATGTTTGCTAAAACAAAAAAAAAACAGTAAGTTAGCATCTAAATTTTGCTTACTGCATGTAGATCACCCAAATTCCAAAATTTTATCATATTTCAGTTTCCTCAAAACGATAAAATATTTTTACCATTAATAACTTGATTGTGCATGGATCGCAAATCGTTCAACAGTTTTTCTGTTCGCTGATTACGTTCCACCATAACTGTAACACAAAAAAAAAAAATCATAACATTTATTATATGAATGGAATTCATTTAAATAATTCCTCAATTTGCAGAATTTTCAGATTTTTTTCATTTTTTCCCGAAATTTCTGCATGTTTGTTTCTTTTACTTCACTTTTG